CCCTTTCCTGTGCCAACAGAAACTTGGTTGGAATGGGGCCTCAGACAGAGGCCTGCGTGGCTCAGATGTGTTGTGATCCTTGGATCTTGGTCAAGAAATGTGCTACCTTTTGGGGTAAAGGGGGAAAAATAGGCAACTGTTCACATTAACCCCTGAAAGGGGACTTTGGGGCGTTATCTGTTTCCGGGACACTGGTTCCCACTCCCGAGTCTTGGAGTCACTGAGATGCTCAGATGCATAAACACGGAATCTCTCCCCCCAATTCCCTCCTCCCCCCCCTTATCATGGAGAAACCAGACTTAGGTGCTAGGGAGGACAGGAGGCCCCTGGAGGCTGGCGCAGAGCCGGATGTGGGTGGAGGCCTCTGGGAAGCTCGTGTCCCTCTGCCTTTGCCCTCCTCACTCTCTTTCTGCCTCCCCAAGGCTAGAGGCAGCCCCTACCCACTTCCTTGCTCAGCAGACCCCACGTGACCCACTCCATGGAGCACAGGCCCCAGTGGCCATGCAGGCCTGGACCAGCAGGCACTGCGGCCCCGAGGTCAGGCCCGAGCAGGAGGTACAGGCCTGGAGGAGGAGGTCCGGGTGGGAGCGTCCTAGACCTGGAAGGAGGAGGAGGGGCAGGTTCTCTGGGAGGGAAAGTAAGACCAGGTGCCCCGGGTGGGAGGCACATGGAGGGAAACAGATTTGCTGCTGGAAGGTGAGGGAGGTCCTCCCTGGAACGTGTGTGGCAGAGCTGGTGTTTGTGACCTTGGGCGAGGCCACATTTAACTCGAGTTCTGAACCTGAGCCCGTGGAGAGGAAGAGCTGTGAACCTTCCTCTTTGGGGGTTGAGGCACTAGAAGCCAGGTCCACCTAGAATCTAGGCTCAGCGGGGTCGTGTGTTCGTGCAGGAGGCTGACCTCGGACTCTGAGCTGAGAAGCCACCTCTGCTGCTCGTGGGCTGCTGCTCCGTGGCTGCTGTGGGTGCACAGGAGCAGGCCCACTGCTCAGGGATCAGGTTCTGCCCGTGTCAGGTGCCCAGGGAGCAGGGGCAGCTCCATTCCCGCCAAGTCCCCCCATCAAACTGCCCAGGGAGCCTTCAACAGCCCCCCCACCCCCCCATCTCTACTCCTGGGCATGTGTAGGGTGGCATTGCATACGCGGAATTATCCTCTCCCCTCCCTGCCAGTCACTTCTGTGCGCACAGCGTCCAGCTCCTGTGCCATCCCTGGCACGCGGCTAGGCCATGACGGAAGTTTATGGGATGAATTAAAGGAGAATCACGAACAGGACACCAAGTGCTTTTCTGATCTTGCCTTTGTCTCCATCCCCTGGCCCTCCCCCACCTGGCTCAGTCTCCCAGAATAATCCTGCAGCTCTCCCTCCCTCTGCCCTTTGCCCCATCTCCCAGGCACTTCCTCTTCTCCCCCACCCCCACCCCCCACCCAGGAATATGCGAATTAGGTTTTGTCTCCAGCTAAAGAGAGAGGCACAGGGCCAAGGTAAGATGGAGCACTTACCCTGGGGCAAGATGGAGGGCGTAGCCCTTGCCCTTTCAGAATTAAAGGAGAATCACGAACAGGACACCAAGTGCTTTTCTGATCTTGCCTTTGTCTCCATCCCCTGGCCCTCCCCCACCTGGCTCAGTCTCCCAGAATAATCCTGCAGCTCTCCCTCCCTCTGCCCTTTGCCCCATCTCCCAGGCACTTCCTCTTCTCCCCCACCCCCACCCCCCACCCAGGAATATGCGAATTAGGTTTTGTCTCCAGCTAAAGAGAGAAACTCCATTCTTTCACCACCAGGCACAAGGCAGCCTGGAATTTCCGGTTGTTCTGGGCCATGAACAATTCTTGTTCTATTGCTCTGCTATGGCTTCTGCATCTGAGTCACCCCCTCTCTTCTGCAAGAAAGAAGTCGTTTGAGGAGTCCACTGAGGGTTGAGGGATTGCACACCTGGTCCCCATCACTAGT